CTCAAGGGCTCAAAGGAAAATGTTGACGTTCCTGCCGCTGGTGGGTTGAATTTGCCTTCCTCAAAGAAAAACCGTGGTAATTGTTTCTCGTGTGCAGGAGACGGAAATAAAGAGGACCCATACAGAAAGACTAAGGGAAATGTTGGCTTCGACCTGAGTGGCCCTGATGGATCACCAGAAATGGTGGAACCCAGAAAAATGGACATAACCGCTTCTGCACCAGAATTTCATGAACGTGGAGAAACCAACGACCTGGACCTCAGAACAACTGGACCAGACTTTCATATCGAGGGACCAAACAAAGGAATCTCAACGAGACCGCCAGAGGTTTCCCTCCAAGCAAAAGACCCAAGAACAAATACCCCAGATGTATCGCTTCCATCAGGAAGCACTACTATCGGCCTCTCTGGATCGGGGAACATTTCTTCAGAACGACCTAAAGTTGAAATAGATGCTAATTCCCCAGAAATCGATGGTCGAAAAGGAAGATTCGATACAGAAATTTCGGCCCCACATGCTGATATATCACATGGTAAACTGGGAGGCCCTAAGGCAAAAGTTACCGCACCTTCTGGACAGTTGAATTTGCCATCTTCAAAGAGAAAGCGAGGTACTTGTTTGTCGTGTGCAGGAGACGCGGATAAAGACGACCCGTACAGAAAGACTCAAACTCAAGGAAGTGTCGGCTATAGCCTTAGCGGTCCTGATGGATCACTAGAGATGGAAACACCTAGCAAAATGGACATAAGTGCCTCTGCACCAGACTTCCAAGGACAGGAAGAAACGAAAGACTTGAGCTTCAAAACAACTGCACCAGATTTTGACATCGAAGGACCAAACAAAGGCATTTCTATGGGCTCGCCAGAAATTTCACTTCATACAAAAGATCCAAGTATAAATACCCCAGATGTATCTATTCCATCAGGAAGTACTGATATCGGCCTTTCTGGGACAGGAGACATTACTTCAAAACGACCCAGAGTTCAAGTAGAAGCCAATTCCCCAGACATCGATGGTCCAAGAGGAAGATTCGATACAGACATATCAGCCCCAAATGCTGATATATCACAGGGT